CAGAAGAGAAATGTGAGAATTCATTAAGCTAAGCACCACAAGGGAAATTTGAGATAAAGGAAGCCCAGAATGAAAGGGCAGACTGAAGTGGTTGGGGTGTGGGTGTTACTGACAAACTGTGGTCTGGGAGCCCGAGGGTGGGAGCATTCTCTCCAGTCTTCCAAAGATAATTCAGTCGGCAAGACCGATGGGAGGATTGTTGGGACTAAAACACGCTGTGAAGCTGCATGTGAGACCCCAGGGAGACAGCGCTCACTTCCCAGGAAGGAGGCAGGTTTGCCAGCCCAGCCCCTAGAGGTGAGGGTCCCATGGCCAGGCTGGGAGACCAGCCGAGCTTCTCAGGCCAGCAGACTTTGTGGGTCTGGCGGCTCAGGATGCTCGTGACCCAGGGACTGCAAAGGGAGGTGGCTGTGGTTGGTTGGCCAAGGGCCATCTGGGGCCCCGAGGCTGCTGAGAGGTGGCCACAGTCCCGGGCTCCTCTGCCTGAGGTGGTGTGAGGGAGGCGAGATGCAGCCCTGGGGCTGGCCTGCTCCTCCCCCTCAGCGTGGCTTCTCAGCTTCCTGTGGGAGATGAACTCCCCAGAGTGCAGCTTGGCCTGGGTTCCTGAGAGACCACTGGGTGGGAGGCTCGAGACCTGGCCCCGTCCTGGCTCTGCCACTGACTGACTTTCCAGACCTGGGATTTTCAGTTAACTGCTCCAGAGTCTTCTGCAGTGCCCTCACACTCAGTCCCTCAGATGGGGCCCCCCTTCCTCCCCAGGCTTTACTGAAGGCCCTGCACCCTCCAGGCTGGATAGTGGGATGTCCTTCTCACCTCCACCCCTCAGGTCCAGTCCTTTGCCAAGTGGTTCTACTATATCAATGTATCTATCCGTCCTATCACCTGAGCCTCCGTCGCTGCCCTGACTCAGTCCCTCATCTCTTGCTGGATTATTACAAGATCTCCTGATGGCCCTTGCGGCCATGACTGTCACCTGACAGGCTGTGCCACCCTGATTCATCTTCCTAAAGCACCTCTGGTCCTCCTCTCCCCCGCTCAGGGAGCTTCGTGATTTCTGAGAAGCCACAGAATTTACTCCTGGTGCCTCAGCCTGCTGTCAGCATCATCTACAGCCTTGCTCCTCACGGTGTGGTCCTGGGCCAGCAGCCGCACGTCACCTGGGCTGTGAGAGACGCAGAGTCTCAGCCCCAGACCTGCTGAGTCAGAGTCTGCTTCTGAACAAGACTGTCAGGTGAATCATATGACATTCAACATTGAGAAGTCCTTGACTTTTTCTTTTTTAATAAACCAAAAAACCCATTGTCGTCGAGTCGATTTTGACTCATAGCAACCCTAAAGGTCAGAGTAGAACTGCCCCATAGTGTTTCCAAGGAGCACCTGGTGGATTCCAACTGCCGACCTTTTGGTTAGCAGCCATAGCCCTTAACCACTACGCCACCAGGGTTTCCTCTTTTTTTGAAGATATATAAAATCAAATATATGTTATATATAATCAAAGTCATACATGTGTGTGATTTTAAAAAATGTAATAAATGTCTCAGTCCTCTGTTGACCTCAGTTCCTCTCCCCAGAGACAACCATTTTTATTATTATTTCTGGTTTTACTTCTTCTGTGGTTACTTCCTTTCTCTAGGTAGTGCTTTAAGGTGATTTCTAGATTTTTCAAACCAAGGCATCACCTAATGACTTCCTGCTACTCCAGGTGGGGATTCAGCTCATAGGTCCCACCTCTGCCTCCCCTCATGGCTCTCTCCCAGGGCTGGGATTGTTCCATCCTGCTGCTGGCTTTCCTCATGTGTCTGGTGATCCTAGGTTGTCCTCTTGTCCTACTATATTTAAAAAAGAGCTGAGGGCTCTGAGGGCAGTAGGCTCCATTTTGGCGTAGAGGCAGGGAGCTGCTTCTATACTGGGAACCCCTAGATGTCAGATGGAGGAGGCTTTCTTCTGAGGCCCCATCACCCGCACTGGTTCCCTGAGTTCCCTGCAGACAGAACATTCAGGAGTTTTGTTTGTTTCTTTCGTTTTTGAAAAGCCCGCCCTCGTGGAGTCTGGCTCCTGGATGAAGCCAGGAATTGCCTGGCTCCTGGATGATCAGTGCCTGGGTAGGGGGACTGAGGATTTCATACCCCGACCCCCCATGAGTCTCCTTGCTTCAGCCCCACTTCTCAGCCCCCCTCTCTCCTCCCTGGTCTCTTTGAGTTCAGAGTCCTCTGGGCTCCTCTGGGCTCCTCTCGGCAGGAGGCGCCATCCTCTACTGGGCCCTAGGTGTGTATTCCAGGTCAGTGGTTCTCAAACTTGGCTGCACAGTGCAATCACCTGGGTAGTTAAAAATTCTGCTCCCTGGGCACCACCCCATAGATTCTGGTGGGATTGGTCTGGGATCTGGCACTGTCTTACCAGGCAACCCTCTTCCATCTCTTTCTGTCTTCCTGGCACCTCTGGTCAGATGAGCATCTGCCTCCCAATCTCTTATTGATACATTTCACATAAATTTACTATGGTTGTAAGGGGTTGGGGAAGGAGAGAGACACACGCGTGTCTTTGGTTCATTAAGTCTTGAACAAGAGGTCCAAAGCCTAATTTCAACCGCCACGTCCAACTGAATCTCCAACAACACCTCATTTGCACTCTTTCATTTAGGGAATACAAACAAACTAGCAATCAAACTCCAAGCCCCTCCCTTTCCCCTACACACACACCCCACTCTCTCCCACATCTCAAACTTCATTCCTACTGCCCCCCGGTAATTTCTAAGCCCAGATATGAGCTGTGCTAGGGGTGGATCCATTCTCAGGGCTCCAGTTAACCTCTGTCACCCCTGAGATGGCTCTACGGTATTGAGGGCCACCTTCTCACAAAGCCACAGTCAGAGGCAGGAGCCAGTGGGCGAGGGGCAGGAGTTTTCCTCATTCTCTTTCCCATTGTCACACTGGAACTCTTTCTCAGAAGCCCCCAGTAGACTTCTTCCATATTACCAGCCAGAATAGGGTCACATGGCCACCTTGAGATCAGAGGGTGCCCGCTGCCCCCAATATGAGGTATTTCTACTTGACACCTAAACCAGTCCTGGTTCTGTTTGTAAGAAGGCAGATGGTTTTGGGGAAAGAAATGGATACTGTCTACCACAGTACTTATTCCTTCTCATTCTTTCTATCTCATTTCCGGAGATCCTCTTTATCCATATGTCTGCTCTCCGTTGTCTGTCCATGTTGTTGTTCTTTGTTCTAATTGCTTCCCTCTGTTAGTCCTCTTATTTGGTAATGTTACTTCCTCATCCTGTCTTCTACACCGTGATAGGGTGTCCTGTATTGTGGATTCTGTTCTTCACATTTTTAAGTTCTGCAAAAGGATTATTTTCTCCTCCATTACTTTCTTAGCACCCTCATTCCTTACCCCTTTACTCATATTATGATATCTTAGTATTCCGTTTTTCATCTCTGGTTTCATCTGTCTTTTACAAACAGTTGTTCTTGCCTTCACTTTGAGGGGCCCAAATATTTGTGTAGGTCTCATGTTAGTTATTTTCTGCTTTTCCATCTTTGATTGGGATCTTTCTATGTGGTTCTGCTGTTTGCCTCAAAATGGAGTGACTGGATTCCTTTTCACTTTGCTTTCTGTTTGCAGGGCACTGTTTGAAGTTTCACCTTAGCACATGAGTTAGAGAACTAGGTAGAAGGGTTTGTAGTCTGTGTTTGGTCTCTCGCTGTCTCAGGAGGGTAGAAAGAGGGCTTGAGTTCTGGGCAGCAGTGAGAGAACCCTGTTTGCTCCATCTCTCCGGTTCTGTGAAAACGACACCAGGGATCATCTCCACTGGTGGGGTAGGTCCTGTTCCTTGAAGGATTCCCTTTCTGATTCTGTTCTGTCCCCCTCCAACTCAGAGTGGCCCACCCCAAAGTATAACATGCTTGTGGTTCACGGACTTTTGATTATAGGTGGATGGGCTCCCCCTGCCCCTCCTGCCCATTTGTGCTACTGCCTTTCCTGTCTGGGTCAGTGGCTCCACGGATATTGTTTGTCACACATGCATGTCACACTCAAAGGGCCTGCTCTGTAGCTGTCAGGGGCTTGTCTGACTTGCAGGCGGATATGTGGGATCCGATGTTGGCGGGGCCAAGTTACAGACGTTCACTAGCAGTAAGTATGGTAACAAATACCCAATGGAGAACTTTTCTACTCTATGATTCCATTAATAAATAGGTAGGTATGCATTGAGTGGAGATTTCAATAAGGCTGTAATGCTAATTTTATTTTCAGGTGAATAAAATAGTTTTACAGATCTATCAAACTCTGCCTAAATCTGGTAGAGTTTAGGTTAAGCATGAAGATATCTTGAAATAATAAACAGACTTAGTAATCGGGTATTGTACAAAAAATGCACGTGAATAAGTATTTTGCATTAAAAGTTTTTTTTTAATTAAATACAGAACCTTATGTGAAGCTACAACCTTTGCTTCTTAATACCAACATCAATGACTTACTTTCAGCAAGACAAAAACACCCATCACATTACATTAAAGTTGTTAGTTTGAACATTATTTGTTTTGCTTTTACTTTATATGCTTTTCTCAGTTTATATTATAAAAGCTATAGGAATGTGAAATTTATACATATTATAGGAGTTCCTGGGTGGTACAAATGATTAATCACTTCACTGCTAACTAAAAGGTTGGTGGTTTGAACCCACCCAGAGGCACCTTGGAAGAAAGACCTGGCAATCTACTTCTGAAAGGCCACAGTCATGAAAACCCTATGGAACACAGTTCTACTCTGCACACGTAGGGTCATTATGAGTCAGAATTGACTTGATGGCTACTTTTTTTTTAAATATATATACATCTTTAAGCAACATTATAAAAAAATAATTTAAAACAACACTTTTTAATGAGAATCATTTCCTAGGTTGCTGATTCAAACCCACCCAGTAGCACCACAGAAGAAATGCCTGGCTATCTGCTTCCACAAAAGTTACAGCCAAGAAAACTCTATGAAGCACTTCTACTCTATAACACACCTGGTCACCTGGAGTTGAAATCAACTCAACAGCAACAGGTTTGTTTTTGTTTTTTGGTTCGAACAAGCATAACACAAATACCAAAGTGACAAATTAAAGCAGAAAAAACACAAAACTACAATGTCCCCGTGTGCTCTTGATCCAGGCGTCCTCCTTAGATTTTTGTCCTGATCATCTAGTAGACAGTGTTCTCCGCCAAGGTCTGCTCGGGGCTCCGTGTATGACCACTGCTCCTCTTGATGCTGGTCTACAAGTCAGGAGAGGTTTAGGGTACTCTGGCCAACTTCTGAGAATTAGGTGAAGGGTCAGTCAGGCTAACCCTCTTCATGAGCTTTCTGCTCATCCAGATGTTCTCACTCAGGGAAAGATTGCAATTCTTGTCTCCCTCTCATTTTTTCTCTCTTCATTTCTCAGCCCTCCCCGAAGCACTTCCTTTCTTAAGAGCTCTACCCTCCCATCTGGAATTATTGCCTATGGAGCCTCCCCCCTTGCAGACCAAGGGAGCTGATCAGCAACTAACCTCCCACCTTCCAGTCTCCTCTGCTGTCTAGTCCTTTTCTTCCCAACCTATAAACTGGGAGTCCCAGGGCTCAGTCCCCAACCTTTCTACCAGCTACACTCACTCCCTCCAGACCCAACCAGTCTCATAGCGTTAAATACCATCTCATCCTGAGAACTCCCTGTGGTGAAATAAGTTCCTTTATGTGGCCTTTTGCCTTGGTTCTTTGGAAAAATAGCTTGAGAGATATTCCCGCTAAGCCTTGAAGAGTTACCTTTGCCCTAGTTTGCTACCCCAGAGAGTTTGTTACATTTCCTAGGTAAGCTGTAAACACTTTGGTTTGATACTTTTTGTCTGGCCCTGGGCTGCAACCTGCCCTTGATTGGTATGCACCTTGCAGGGACTGGTCAATATACCCATGCAAATGAAGTGACTATGGACTATGCAAATGAGGTGACTATAGCCTACAAGGCAAATGAAGTGTCTGTGGCCTGTTGAGAGGGTATTGGACAGTTTGTGACCCTCCATTGGGAAGGGCTATGCCTTGAAATTGACAAGGAGTCATGTATATATGCAGCCAACCCCAAGGAGGTTTTTCAGACAGAAAGAAGCAGGCAGACTGGAAGCAGGAAGAAGCAGAAAGGAGAAAAGGCAAGAGAGAAGAAAGAAGAAGCAGAGAGAAAAGAGGCAAGCAATCTCCTAAAAGAACTGTACCACCAGTCAAGGGCTGTAACACTGACAGGCCCAGAAGGGGTCCAGCAGCAGAGTTGGTGGTTACAGATGGCAAGGCCAAGAGAAGCCTGTCCTGAGGGGGCTGAAAGGGGCCTGTCCTCAGGGGCCAAGAGGAGGCCAGAACAGCTGACAGGGAGCATACATGGCAGAAAGAAGGGCCTGCTTGCTTGCATGGCCAAGAGGAGCTGAGAGGGCTGTCCTGCACTGAAGAAGGGAGACTTTGCCTACATGCCTCCCGATCCTGATCCTGATCTTAAGTTACAGCCTGTTGATACTGATCCTGAATTGTACCCTGCTACTTCCTTAATAAACCACTTAACTGTAAGTATGATCTGTGAGTTTTGTGTGGCCATTGCAATGGATTGTGGAACCCAGCAAAGAAGTAGAGAGTGTCATGGGGAGGATGGCTGGTGTCAGAATTGGTAAAAAGGTTGTAGAGTGGAGATATGTCTGACCTCCACCTCATAAGAATCACCATCAGCTCTGTTCTGATGCCACCACTACTACTACTACTACCATTTCATACTCCTCAATATAAAGCTTCAGCCCAGACCTCTCTCTGAGTTCCTCAGGGGCTTTGCACTTGCTCTGGCCTCTGCCCAGGAAGTCTGCTCCCCACCCCCCGCCCCCCATGACAGCACATTGCTCTCGCCTCGTCTCTTCCAGGTTCTCACCTATCTTCTCGGTGAGGTTTTCCCTGGAGCCTTGGTTGCAATCACCCTCCCAGGCTCACTATCCCTACCCTGCTCCCCCTCCTCACTGGGTGACAGTGAGGATCTGATGAGATTGTGGATGGGGAGACTTACATGGGAGCTGTCTTCACCATTGGCAGTTTCCATCCTTGTGCACAGCTCCTAGCCTGCTGTGGGCACCCGGGCACAGCCACCGTATTGTCCAAACAAGAACTGGACTGAGGGCCTGATGGTGGCAGAACTGTCTGGATCCCCGGGCCCCCGGATGCTGAGCACATGATTTGATTCCTTTAAACCAACCTTAGGGTGTCTCAGGAGGCTGATCTCGGCATAGGGAGGACAGTGGCTGTCGATCTCACTGGTCTGTAGGTCAGCACTGTCCTCTGTGGGAAGGGCCTGGAGGGCCACTGCTGAGCTGGGCACCACTGGCAGGAGAGTGGACCCACCTTGTACACGCAGACTCACAATGAGAGTGTGTGGGATTGAATTAGACCCTCACAGGCCCCGGGTGAGAACAGCCAGCACTCCCTGCGCTGTTAGCACAGGTCTGCCCCCTGCCTGCTACCTCCCACCCACCACCCCTCCTCTCTGGCCATTCACACACCTCCACCCTCCACATTGCTCTGCCCCACACTTCTCCAAGGATGATTCACAGGGAAGGTCGAGATGCCTCTGTCTGCTCACTGGCCTCCCTGGCCTGACACCTCCCCCTCCCCTGAGGTCTCCTCCATCCACTCCTCCTCCCCCAGCCCCATCCTCCCTTCAGGGTCTGTGAAACCTTACTCCCTCCCCCAGGGGTCTTCTCTGTCCACTCTTCCTCCCCCAGCCCAGTCCTCCCCTCTGGGTCTCCCAGCACCTGCCTTTCTCAGTCTCCGTCTTCCTCCTCTTCCAGATCCACACTCCAGCTCCCAGGATCACCACTAGAACTGTGGCAAAGATGCCTTTCCAAAGCCATTTGCTCCAAAGAGAACCTAGGGTCAAAGTCTGGTGTCAGATCTGCTTCCCTCAAGTCTGGTGGGCAGACGTGGGGGTGAGACTCTCCTCACCCAGGGCCTTCTCCTAAGCTGGCACCTTTGATGCAACCCCAACAGGGTCCCTCCTACCTAGTCACTGCCCACTGCCCCTTTAATGACCTCCTCCTAGTCCTCTGTCCCATCTCTGCACAGGGACCTTGGAGGTTCCCACTGACAGGGTGTGCCATTGATCATGCCCCAGCCTTCCCCTCCTTTCTACTCTCAGACTCCTGAATAGAACCACATGCCAAGAACGAGAGGAAATGGAAGGATCCAGGATTACCAGACCCCAGAGCATGTACTGTTCTCTGGGATGTCTTTCTTACACTGCCACAGAAAACTCCTATTCATCCTTCAAGGCCCAACCCAGGGCTCCCTTCTCTGTGATGTCATTCCCAACTTCTGCAAGCAGTTACTTAATTTCTGTTTTTTTGTTATTGAACCACACTCTGCATTTGCCTCAATTTCAGCATTTAGAACCTGGCCTTAGATTTATAAATTTACTCTTCTTCTTCTAACTAGGGAAGAAGCTAGCTCATAATTATTAAACTCCTTTTATGTGCCAGGCCCTGTGATGATAGCTTTATATAGATTACCTCTTTTAATTCTCACAACAACCCTGTGAAGAAAGTATGATTATTACCCCATTTTTCAAATGCAAAGGTTTGGAAAAAATAAGTAACTTGTCCAAGGTCACACAGCCAGTATGTAGTGGTGTCTCCCAGGTACTGTGAGTTCCTTGAAGGTGAGGCTTGTCATATTTTTCACTGTGCCTTCACCCAACACACAGCTGACGCTCAGGGCAGGTTTGTGGGTTGAATGCTGGGTGGAGTGAGTATGAAAATGATGAAAAAGAGGCTGTTCAGATGAGAACCCCAAGTGAGCCAGCAGAGCTCAGGTTGAAATTGGTGGGAGAGGGCAGAGGGGCTGATACTTGCATCTCATCTTTACATCAGTTGTTCCTGCTGTGGAGTCCTGTGCAAGATGAGGGTTTGGGTTTTATGAAACCAGGACCTGTGGGTATGGCTCCTTGTAAGAACTCCACCCCCTAGCCATCCCTGCATGGTCCCTCTTTTTAGTCTAGGTGATCCTTTAGACTGAGTAGGGAGAGTGGCACCTAGTCGTAGTGACTGCATATGCTCACAGTGCTCAGCAGAAGGCTAAACTGTGGCTTTCTTACTCAGGGTGGGGACCGTCCTCAGATAGGGGACATCTGGCATGGGTGTCTGAGGGACTGAGCTGGACACAGGCCCAGCCCATCCAGGAAGGGAGCCTGAGTCCTTCCTCCTTAGGTCTTTCCCTTCTCTTGCTTTGCTGGGAAATTGGGGTGCCCAGGTAGGGGGTGCTCACATGTTGGACCCAGTGTAGAATAGGACATTTGTCTCCTGGGTAATACAGCAGTCTCTGTTCAATGATCTGGTCCAGGTTCTGGACCAGCAGGCTTGAGGATTGGTGCAAGAAACAGGGTTGTTCACTGAGGTAGAGCTGTGGTTGTACCTTCTGAGCTGCCTTAAATGTCCCTCAGCCCCATTCCTCTCCCTGAGTCCTCCAGTCTGCCCTCCTCCACTCTCTTCTGGCCCATTTCCATCACCCATCCTGATGGATCACACTCACCCCTCCATAGACAGATGCTCCCCAGGTCCAAGGTGGCATTTTTCTGGTCTGCAGGGTTGCTGACCACACAGATGACGTGGGTATTAACCTGGCTCAGGGGCAGGCTCAGGCTCACAATCCTGGAGTTGGGAGTTGGCTCCTGTGTGCCCCTTTTCTCCAGATGCCCAGGAAGACCCTTGCCCAACCAGGTCACTGTCAGGTTCTCTGTGGCCCCTGGGGTCCCACACTCCAGGGTGAAGTTGCACCAGCCTGATGTTTTGGATGATGAGTGAATCAGAACCTGGGGTTGAGGGATGGGCTCTGGGGTGAGAGAGGACAAAAAAAAAAAACTGAGCTTCAAGACTGGAGGCCCACCTAAACATATCAGCCTCTCTCACCTATGGGATGCAGCAGTGTGAGGGAGCCCATTTCCTAAACAGAGGCCTGGGGAAAGAACTTGCTCTCCCTTCCAAAAGGGTTCTGACTCCCAGTCCAGAGGCAGATGGGTGAGGCTCTTCCACACTCAAGGATTTACAGAAGAAAAATTAAAAAATGAGTTCACGGAGGAACTCCCAAGACTATCACCCAAAGATACACATTTAATCTGGAACTGAAGCCACTCCAGGAGGTCACTCTTCAGCCAAATAATAGATTGGCTTATAAAATAAACAATAACACCAGTGAGGAATGTGCTCCTTTAGATAACCAACTATAGAAGAGCAAAAGGTCAACATTTACTCCAAAGCAAAGATGAGAAGGCAAGGAGGGGCAGGGAAACTGGATGGATGGAAATGGGGCAGGCTGGATGAAAATGGTGAGAGTGCTGACACTATTGCAGGGACTGAAACCCACGTCATGGAACAATCTGTGTGTTAATTGTTGAATGGGAATTTAATTTGCTATGTAAACTTTCACCTAAAACACAATTAAATATTAAAAAAAAAAAAACTTAAAAAAAAGGATTCATGAATGAAGTAGAAACAAGATATAGCAGTGATCAAAGAAACCATTGAAACTTATGGTTAAGTCTCGATGATCAAATATTCATCATACATATAATAATCATCACATATACATTATCATTTATATTATAACTACAACATGAGAAGAGTTGGAGAATAGAGTGGAAAAAATGTTAAAATTCTTTTTCTATTCAAGGGAAGAAAAAAACTAATGATTATACCCAAATGGTGAAGTAAAAATTTAAGTTTAATATCCAGTAGAATTAAAAGATAAGATTGTGTAACTTCCAATTCACTAGAGAAGTTGGGATCAAAGTAGATTCTATTAATCCAACAAAAGGCAAGGAAAAGAAATAAGAAGAAAATACAGTAAATAGAAAGCATTAAATAACTTGTCAAGAGTAAGTACATACATGTAATAATTGAAGTATATTTAAATGTATTATATCCCCCCATTAAAAGACCAAGACTCTCAGATTGGGTTAATTCAGTTGTATGCTATTTATAATAACTAGTGACAAAGAAAGATTTTAAAAAAAGAGACGGAAAAAGATATAGTAGGCAAATGTTAACCAAATGACTGCAGTAATGGCAATAGTCACTACAGACTGAATAAAATTTTAAAATAAAAAATTAAGCAGGTCAAAGAGAAATATTTTAAATTAATATGCACCTAAAACATGGTTCTAAACTGTAAAGAGCGAAACAAAATTCAGAAAAACTATTGGAAATTCAAGGATCAATTTACAAATCCACTGTTACTATGGTGGATTTTTAGCAAGGCTCTCTCAGAAATTAGATCAAGGAATCCAATAACCAGAAAAGGAAATAAAAAATGTTCATACCCCAAACCAAAAACTCTTTTTTTCAGAATTGCATGGAACATTTAAAAAAAAAAAAAAAAAAAGTTCTGTGTTACGCTACAAAGAAAATCCCAAATTCCACAAAGTAGAAACCATAGACTATATTTTTCCAAAAATGAGTTCAATAAAGTAGATAATTCACAACAAAAGCAAAATTCCTATCTGTTTGGGATTTTAAAATTCACTTCTAAAGAAATATTCCATAAAGAAGAAATTGAAATGGAACTTAGAAACTATTTAGAAATGAACATCAACAAAAATTATGTGAACCGTGGATAAAATAGTTCACCAAGAAAAAATGCATAACCTAAAATTCATTTATTAGGAAGCATATAAGATTGAAAATAAATGAACTAAGCATTCAACTCAAAGATTCAGAAAGGCAAATAGACATAAATAGATTAGTAGAGAGGGTGGAATAGAGAAAAAACATGCATCAGTGGCCATGTGGCTGGTCTGGTAGTTGGCTCACTCCACACTTCTTCCCAGTCCCCTTCTTTGTCCTTGCCTGCATCTACATAGAGTCTAGAAAGCTAACTTCTCAATTTCTGTCTCTCTTGCAGTTGCAGTTCTGACCAGTGAAGAACGGGAAGTCTGCTGGGTGGGAGGAAGGGCTTAGCCTCTGAAAAAACAAAGCCTCAATAAGAGAAAGGCTTTCCCCTTGTCCTTCTGTAGTTGGTTGCTTAATTGTGAAATGATGTCTGGAATAGCAGCCTTTTGGGACCACGAGACCAAAAGCATGAGGACAAAAACCTACGTGTCAAGGTGTGCAGAGCAGATGGACAGAGAGAGCTTAGATCCTTGATGACATTGCTGACCAGCTGAACCAATGTGATCAGATGCTATCTCCTGAATTCTTGTTCTATGACAGAACTAACCCTACTGGCTTAAGTCTTTGAAACTCAACTTACGTTAACTGTAGCCAAACGTATCCCTAGCTGATACACCTAGAAAAGAATTTTTAAAAGAGTGATTCAATCAGCAAAATCAGAAGTTGATTTAAAACAAAAAGACCAATTGAGAAGCAGAGCCACATTGGCACCATAGACAGATGCACCATGCTGACCCTCTGCAGCAAAGACCAGCAAACTTAAAAAAACAGATACAAACGTCAATCCTGGAAGCATAAGCATCAAATGAAGGGATAAAAAACTAGATCAAACACCAAATGGAAGAAGAAACTGATGGAAAACAGAGAATGCGGAGAGATACAGAGTGGAAATCCCCTGCCAACTAACACAACGTCGCCAACTTGGAACACAGCCAACAGCAATCCTAGACAGGGAGTACAGGAAGGCAACTTCACGGAGCTCCAAACAGGAGACAGAGCCCTTGGTAACCAGAGAAACACACTTTCCCACCTCTTACCCTTCTATACTGTACACCACTCCACCCCTTCCCAGTGGGCCACAGTGGGCCGCACTGTGGTGCTTGACTAGAGAGCCAATGGCCCACCGCCACCCTGGGTACACCCCACCCCCACATGCTGTCTCCCATCATGCCATCTTTTTTTTTTTCACCTTTCTTCTTCCTATTCTTTTTCCCTCCAACTTTGTCCCATACACCTCCTCCCCCACTTCCTACCTGGCCAAGCCACACCACTGGCTAGAGAGCCACTGGCCTACCGCCACCCCCACCCGCTGGCTCCCACCACACCATCTTTCTTTTTCCCCCTTCTTCCTTTATTTTCTCCTTCCCACCTAACCCCATACACCGCCTATCTTAGGCTGGGTTCTCTAGAGAAGCAAAACCACTGAAGAGTATAAATATATGCATAAACCAAAAAAAAAAACAAAACAAAAAAAACAAACCCATTGCCAGTTGTGTTGATTTCAACTCATAGTGACCCTATAGGACAGAGTAGAACTTCCCCATAGGGTTTCCAAGGAGCAGCTGGTGGATTCGAACTGCCAACCTTTTGGTTAGTGGTCGGATGCTTAACCACTGTGCAACAAGGGCTCCATAAATATATAGATAGATAGATTTATATCAAGGAAATGGCCCACATAGTTGTAGATGCTGGAAAAGCCCATGTCTATGGGTCAGGCTAGAAGCGTCTCTTGACTCATGTAGCTGCAGGGGCTGGTGAACCCAAGATCAGCAGGTCAGGCAGCAGGGCTCTTGCTAACAGGCTGCAGAGGTTGACGAATACAAAGATTGGCAAGTTAGCTGCTAGCTCAAGTGCCAAGAACTGGAGGTCAGATGAACAGGAGCCAGCTGCAGGATCCAGAGCAAGCAAGAGCCTGAGAGCCTTGACAGAAAGTCCACCTATATTGGATGCAGGCCACATCCCAAAGGAAACTCCCTTTCAACTGATTGGCTACTCACAGAAGATCCCATCATGAAGGTGATCAAATTATATCAGATCTCATCATGGAAGAGAGTACATCATTATACAACTGCCAAACTACATTGTAACTGCCAAACCACTGAGAATCATGGCCCAGCCAAGCTGACACACAACCTTAATGATCACACCACTTCTACACCTTTCCGCCGGGCCATGCCACACTGCTTGGCTAGAGAGCCACTGGCTCACTGCCAGCGGTCTGCCCTGCCCACACCTGCCAGCTCCCACAGCACCATTTTTTTCCCTTTCTTCCTTTTCTTTCTCCCTCTCACCCAGCCCCATATGCCATCTCCACCATTCCCCACCATGGTGCCTTGGCTAGGGAACCACTGGCCCGCCACTGCCCTGGGTCCACTCAGCCTCCACCCACTATATCGCACCATGCCATCGATTTTTTTTTTCTTTTTTATTTCTCTTCTTTTCTTTCTCCCTCCCACCTAGCCTGGTACATCATCTCTCCTCCATTCCCACTGGCCCCCAGCTCTGCCTTGCCCTCACAGGCCAACCACCACTGCACCACCATTTTTTTTCTTTT